AGTTCCATGTGTCTTGTCAGCTGCAATGTCTCCCAGGGAGTGGCAGAGAGAGAGGGAGGTGTCTCCCGCCTCCAAAGAGAAAGTACCAGATTTCCCAGAATTCTCAGGAGGAGGCCATGCCCACACAGAGGCCTCATTGGCTATGATCTGGTTGACAGACTAGACTCCACCCCTGCACTTAATCCTCAAGCTGACAATGATATAACTATAACCGAACTCACTGTATTGAGTCCACGCTGACTCCCAGTGACCCCGTAGGACAGGACAGAGCTGCCCCTGTTGTTTTCTGAGACTGTCACGCTTCACAGTAGTAGGAAGCCTCACCTTGGTCCTGAGCAGTGGGCTGGTGGTTTTGAACTGCTGACCTTGCTGTCAGCAACCCATCGAGTACCCACTCTACCACCTGGGCTCCTGGTGCTGCTGCCTTCCAGTTGGTCCCTGACCCATGGAAAGCCCATGTGACTGAGTAAAACTGCCCTTTGGGACTTTCGAGGGTGCCATCTTTACAGGGGCAGAGCACCAGAGCTTTCCCGTGCTTGCAGGGTTTAATAGCTGGGCCACCAGGGCTCCTAGATGGAAATACAGGTATATATGATGCCAGAAGAAGCCAGCTCCTAGCACAATCACTATGGGGTTGGTAGGCGCAATTGTACAGCGATAATAAGTAAGTATTATAGTAAAGTTATAGAGAGCAGGAGAGATAAAAGAGATATATAGAAAGCATATATATGGCAGCATGCTCACCTCAGCCCCGCTTGGTGGTCCACGTGGAGGGAGTGAGAGAGAACTTTAATGCTCCCCAAGCTTTTATACTCTCTGGGGACATTGGGGACGTGCAAGCCCCCACATTACAGGTGAAGACATACGTCACAGGAAAGGGTTGTGCTACAGGTATTACAGTGATGGGAGGGGGTGATCTAGGGACATATGCGCTATGGAAGGAGGAGGGATTGGGGGTGTACATGCAGCAAGATAGGCGGATCCTAGATTTCTGGTAGCAGCTTAACTTGATTTTGGGTCTCCATAGGAACCATTATCAGTTGGGTGTGTACTCCGCCCACAGGAACCAAACTAATGGCCTTAGGCTCCAGAGAGGTAGCCCATTGTCTCTAGCATCAGGGAGCAGCCCCCCCCCCCCCCCCCCGTTGGTGGGATGAGACAGCAGTTTGGCAGCAAGTATCTGACTTCCCCCCACAATATGACCCACTGCCAGTGAGTGGATTCTGACTAATATTGATCCTTCAGGACAGACTAGAACTGCTCCACATTGTTTCTGAGGCTGCCCTGGTGGTGTGGTGGCTACTTGTTGGGCTGCGATCCATATGGTTGGCAGTTCAAAACCACCAGCGGCTCCGTGGGAGAAAGACTGGGATTTGAACTCCCATACACAGTTACAGTCTCAGTAACCCACAGGGGGTTGCGAAGAGTCAGCATGGACTCGGTGGCAATGAGAACTCTCTATGGAAGTAGACTGCCCCATCTGTCTTCTTCAGAGAGGTTCGTGGGTTTGAACTGCTAACCTTTCTGGTAACAGCCTGATGCCTCACCCACTGTACTTCCGGGGTTCGTTATGCTGTCGTTTGGTGCTGTTGAGTTAGTTATGACTCACAGTAAACCCAATGCAGGGTTTCTAAGGCTGTAAATCTTCATGAGAGCTGATAGCCTCGTCTTTCTCCAAAGCAGAGGCTGGTGGATTTGAACCGCCAGTCTTGTGGTTAGCTTATCCAACAGGACCAGCAGGGCTCCTTATAGGTCTATGTGCTAAAATCAAGACAAACTCACTGCCATCAAGTTGATTCTGACTTATAGTGACCCATGAGCTTACTCCTGTGGGATTACAGGGCTGTAACTCTTTATGGTAGCGGGAAGCCTTATCTCTCTGCTGAAGTGTGACTGGTGGATTTGAACTGTTGATCTTGCAGTTAACAGTCCAATGCGTAACCCCTATGCTATCAGGGCTGCTTATAGGTCTATATACTCAAAACTCACTGCCATCGAGTTGATTTGAACTCATAGAGACTCTATAGGACAGAGTAGAACTCTTCCTATGGGTTTCTGAGCCCGTAAAGTTTTACAGAAATAGAATACCTCATCTTTCTCCTTTCAAAGCTGCTGGTCTTGAATGGCTGGCCTTGTGGTTATAGAGAGGTTTTGTTGGAAAGACTTGGTTGGTGGACACCTGGTGGCCTTGTGGGTGAGGGCTGGGCTGCTAATCACAGGGTCAGAGGTTCACACTCAGCAGCTGCTCCTTGGGAGAAAGAGGAGGCCATCTGCTCCCGTAGAGATGGACAGTCTTGGAAACCTTACACGTAGCAAGATCACAGCAACAGGATGAGAGGAGAGTGAGAGAGGCCTCACCTCCAGAGGTCAAACACAGCTGAGAGAAAGAGACCTTCGCCTGGTTGGGCAAGGCCCTCCCGCATTATGGAGGGTAATCTACCAGGCCTTGCGGCCAAGACGGACACATCACTCCTTTAAAACAGACTCTAGACTAGTGTTCCACCACACAGTGGGGCACCATGATTCAGCCAAGTGGACCCTGAAAAATGAACCATTAAAGAGAAGATGGGGGGGGGGGGAAGGAAGAGGAGGAACTCCCAAATCAGCAACAAACCAACCCTCCAAACCAACCTTCTCAGCCCCAGCTTCCCCGCCCTGATCTGCACACGCCTTTACTCTGGCTGCCTGCGCCGCTCACTGAGGTGGTGCGCTCAGCCACTAACCGGCAGGTAATGGTTTGAATCCACCCAGCGGCTCTGCGGGAGGAGCTGGAAGTCGGCTTCCGTCAAGACGGCAGTGGGAAACCCGACGGGGCAGCTCTACTCTGTCACCCAGGGTCGCTGAGAGGAGGAAAGGACCTGCGGGCACGGCCACATCAGCCCGGGAGGGATGGTTTGAATGGTGGTGGGAGGAACTGGAGGGGGCGCCTGGGCGCGCGCATCGCAGTACCTTCGGAAGCCTGGTCTGGCCCCCACGCCCCTCCGAAACCGGGTCTGGCCCCCACGCCCCTCCGAAGCCTGGTCTGGCCCCCACGCCCCTCCTTGGACTCAACGGGTCTGCCCTGGGGCGACAAGCCTGGGGGCTGCGAGTCCCAAGCTTCCAGGGTTGCAGGTCCCCTTTGCACACTCGGGGTCTCCGTGGCTGGCTGGGGTGAGGAAGCACTTCGCCGTCTTGGAACGTTCCAGCTGGTATCACTATTGCATCTCCGAAATTTCCCAGGGAAACCCTGCGCATGGTCAGCCACCGCTGGGAGCTCCGATGCTCTGTCCAGTGCTCCCGGGTGCCAGCCACCGGCGACGCCCCAGAAGGACTTGAGAGAGATGGAGTGAGTGCCCATCTTCCCATTTTCTGTAGGGAAAGTGAGGTCCAGGCACGGGGTGGGGGCGGGTGGGGGGAGCCATTGTCCAACAAGATCGTCCGGGGCGGTGCAGGGCTTTCCCAGGCCCCCTTCCTGCACTGGGGCGCTTCCTCATTTGGGGCCGGCTTGGGTTGGTCTCTGCTGCTTCTCCCGCGCCCACGTACAGCGGGCCGCCGACGGGAAATGGGTTTCCTCCCTGCCTCTCAAGACTCGCCTTTCCTTTCCTACCGGGGGATTTCTCAGTCTGGACTCTCCAGCCTTGTGCCTGGGGTCTGCAGGACTCCGGATGGGAAGCGTGCAGGTGGGGACGGGGCGGGGCCAGGAAAGACCCAGGGTCGGGGGAAGGTGAGGCAGGATGGGGGGAAGGGGAGCATGCAGCTGTCGCAATGGGGTGGGGGTGGGGGTGGGCAGGGAAGGGGACCGCTGGCTGAGCCAGGACCCCTGGGCAGAAGGGCTGGGCTTGGGGGGAGCCTTGAGGGCGCCCCAGTGATGCAAGACTGGGGATGACGGAAAGGAGCGGAAAAGAGAAAAGATTCACAGAAAGTGAGAGCGCGAGACAGGGAGGCCTAGATGGGGACACGGAGAGGCGGGGTCAGAGACAAACACGCACCTACAGACAGACTGCGATGAAGGTGAAAAAACAGAGCCAGGGGCAAACAGAGGAAGGAAGGGAGACAACAGAGACAGGGAGGGAGAGACAGACTGGGATGGAGAGAGAGAGAGAGAGAGAGAGAGAGAGAGAGAGAGAGAGAGAGAG